GAACCTCCTCACCATCAACTTGGGGACTTCAGGTACCAGTGCCCCTCCCAGGCCTAGGACCCAATCACCAAAAGACACAGATCAGGGATTCCCAGGCAATTTTGGAATGGGTTGGAAGTTGGAGGTGAGAAAGGACCTTTCTCAGAAAGAGATCATTCCCATCCCATAGGCAATGCTACCCTGCAGGGCCCAGGCCTGCCGGCTTTGACTCCTAAACCTGCAGGCAACCTCTGAATAGCAACAGGCCCTCAGGAACCTAGGGCCTTCTGCCCTAACCCTACCTGGTCTCAAGCATCTGGAAGCTCGGGGTCTTGTGAAGTTCTATGGGTCTAACAAATTAGCTGAGAGGCGCCAACTTCACACATGCATTAAAACCTAGGCTCTACCCCAACCTCTGACCTTTCTTTAGGGAATCATAATAGAATGTGGAAATGGAGTCACCACACACACACACACACACACTGCTGCTCACTACCCTGCCCGGCAGACTTTGCCACAATTAAAGCAGTAGGGCAAGGACAATTCTGGGTTGCGAGGGCATTCTATGATGAACAACATGCACACATAAAAGAGGACTGGCAGGCCAGCCTTGGCCAAGGATGGCCCCCTCAGGCTTACATTAGGACCAAAAAGAGAAAATAGGGACAAAGCAGGCAGGGTCACAGAGGGGAAGGGGGCTCTCACCCACCTCCCACGTCGTCGGTCTTTTCATTTTCTTCCTAAAGACTTGAGTTTTTAGCTCCTCTCCCTACTTCCGGGACCCCGGTCCAGATGTCCCCAGGCCCCTAGCAGGAGGGTACATCTCTAACAGATATCCTCTCTTGGTTCTTATAGGGAACATAGGTTTTGGGTAGGCCCTTCCATCTTTTTGGGTCTCAGTATCCCAGTCTGAGGAAGGCCTTGACAAGGGTTCTGAGGACAGCTGGTAACAGGGGTGAGCAGCTCATCCTGGGCTCAGTGAGGGGAGTCCACCATCACCCTGGCAACAGCTTCAACCACCAATCACCAGAGACAGATGGTTGGACGAGGGGAGCAAAGGAGAAACAAGAAGGAAGTTCGTGTCGGACGTGGTAGCACACTTTAGTCCCAGTGCTCAGAGGTCACTCTGGTCTACATAACAAGACCTTACCTCAGTAAATAAATAGATATTTTTTTTAAGAAAAAAAAAAAAAGAATGCGGTCAACCAAGTGGGGGCGGGGCACTGTGAAATGACAGGCAGCTGAGGTCCTACAGCCAAGGTTTGTGAACTTGATACAGATACGAACAGTCACTGCTCTGGTTCCTACTTGCTGGTGGCTGCCCTTCTCCCATTGCTTCTCCCCACTAGCCTCTTAAGATTATATTAATTCAGGGGGGAAATCAAGACGAGGTCATCTCAAAAGACAGGGTCCGATCTAAAGGCCAAACGGAGCATACAAGGCTCACACCGACACCCAGCATGCCTCCAAACTGTGTCCTTCAAGAGGCTAAGAGCTGGTGGTGTCTATCTACACTCAAGCAGAGGGGAGAAGGAGACACTGAATGCTGAAGGGTTCACTTGATTTGCTTGAGAGTCAGTTTTACTTTGTCACTTTGGGATCAGTCTCTTCTGGGGACATAGGTGTGGTGCGGAATCTGGGAAGGTACCCATTTTAAAGTGGCCTTCTTCCCTTTTCAGGAGATTAGTCTGACCTATCTATCCAGGAGGAGTAGCCTAATAAAAGTCGGGTACAGAGGGCACGGCAACCAAAGATCTCCCCTAGAACCTCAACACCAGGAGGGGTGCAGGCACCTGGCAGTGCCGCATTCTACTGACAGCAGCAGCAGGCCTGGAAGCCTCACCCCTCCCTCCTGCGAAAGCTGCGCAGGTTGTTGGAAAGAGGGGGGACCCACACATGTAATGTTGCCTCCCACCAATAGGGAGAGCCACAGAGAGGTAGAGAGACCTACTCCAGGCCCAGACAGACACGCGTCACCCACCATTAACCATAGCTAGACTGACGCATGCCCTGTCATGGGCACTGCTCCCCATTTGTCCGCTCAGAAGAGAAGCACTTATATACTCTGACAGGCATTAATTTGTTGGGGGTACAAACCCTTCAGGGCCCCTCACTGCTCCTCACCCAAGCTGGAGGAAGGAAGGCACCAAACCTACCCCATCGCTAGAGCAGAGCACCTGTATTAAGAGGTGCAGGCAGGCAGGTGGGCAGTTCAGATGGGCACCCTATGTAGCGCTTAACCAGAACTCCACTGAGCAGGGGAGCGTGAAGATCAGGGGTGCCACAGGGCAGGGTACAGGGACCCAACAGAAAGGACGAAAAGGCAGGCAAGCCAGGGTGGGCAGAGATTGAAGACAGGACAAATAAGGAGGTAAGGAGAGAGAGAGACCCTAAGCCCCAACACTGGAGTGTGGAGGCAACAAAGAGGGCCAGAAAATACATAAATACATCAAGGCTGTTAGCAGCCAGGACCAACTCTTTGCCAGCAGCACCGGCTGGCCTGACCGCTGGGGTGGGCGTAAACGGGAACAGAAGGAAGCAGGTAAAAGGAAGCATGTGTTGTTCTAGGACTCCATCCTCCTAGACACGAGAGTATATACACACCCATGCATGATACATGTATCTGAAACCCCGATTCAGATCCAGGTGGGCAACAGAGGCCCCTCTTCCTAAAACCAAAGTCCCGTCCTCCCTCCAGTGGCAACTCCTCTGCCCTTTATAATCTAATGGCTCGGTTCATTTCACCCGATGGCAGACGGCCACACTGCCAGAGAGATAACGGCCACCAGATCCTAAGCCCGCATTTGATTAAAACCAAGCAGTTTGAAAAGCTGGCCCCTTCCCACAGCTCCATACCCTGGAGGGCATTCTTAATCATTGAGGGCCCTCCCCACGGAAGGCTTGTTCCATGGCATCCCGCTACCACGGGACTGATAGTCCTACTTTCCAGCTTAAGAATCCACCTGTATCAGCGTCCTCCGAGGCTGGGCACTCTGACCCGGGAGAAGGTTCAAGATACCACCCAGCCCTGAGCAGCCCCATGGAACCCTGGAACCCCCAGCGGCAGCATCAGCCTTTTATGTCATTTAACAAAAGCCTTAACTCGGAACCAAGCAGTCACTAGGAGGGGTCCACAAGAGTCCCCTTCCTCCTCCAAGGATCAATAAAATCTACATCCACAGGACCAGGGCGGCTGAAGGGCGCTGCCTGTCATGGCAAATCTGCTTCGATGCCACACGTTCGTCACCTCCCACTAGACCCCAAAGCTCCACAGCCCCTGTTCCTTCCCCTACTTCATCCCCTAATTATGGTTTGTAAGACATGTCCCAAACCCTCGAATTAACTCCAACAACATCAAAAGGAGAAGAGTGTCCAGTGGGAAATGATGTGTGGCTGTAGTCACACCCTCCTCAACATCTTCTGGGGGCGGAGGGACAGGTGCACCCTTGCTCAGGGTTTTACATTGTCCTAGGGGAGACTCAGGAAGGCCCAGCAGCCATGGGAAGCACGCTGCAGGGAAGGGGAGAGAGGTCAGGAGAGGCAGAAAGAGGTGACTACTTAAACCTTCACTTGAGGAGCTGGGAAAGAAACAGCTACGAAAGGAAAAAAAAAAACTGTGGCTTGCCTTTGAGGAAAAAAAAAGAACAATAAAAAATGCTTTTGCTCTTTTTAGACGCCGTAGTTCCAGCCCAGTTTCATCGCTGCACATGAAAGACGATAACACACCCCACCAACCCTTGAACTTCCCTGCGCTCGTGAAAACCCAGACAGCTGACAGAGGACACGTCTGTGCAGCACCTGTAATTTGCCTTCTGATCACCTGCCTGAGCACGGCCAGACTGTGTGAGGCGAGCGGCGGATGGCAACGAGGACAGCGAGACAGGCTCGGAGCAGTGCTCCATCCGAGTTTGTTTTTTCCTCATCTGGGAGAACCTGCCAGCTGAAGTAGGCAGGTTTTGTGGCAGAACCAGGGGCTCCTACCCAAGGGCAGAACCGCTCTTATGACGCAGACTAGCCGGACCAGACCCGGCTCTCATGCCCAACCCTGGGCCAGGACACTCGTGAAGGAGTCCAGGGGACAGGTGGCTCCTCAAAGTCGAGGACAGAAAGCAGAAGCGCGATCCTTGCCATGCCCCCAAAGGGGTGTCTGGACAATGGCATATGGTTGGGGCATGGTGTCAAGAAACAGATGTTGTCCTAAAGGCCACATCCAGAATACCCACTTCCTATCTAGACACATCTGCCCGACTTTGCCAGCTCCTGGGGAAGGTGAGAGACTCAGATGGAGGCTGGTAGAACCTGGAAATGCTATTACCCTGTTAGGAGCAGGAGCGACAGGGGCAGCAGTATCAGGGGCAGGCAGGGGTCCTCCCCATCATTCACCTTCTGGCCCAACCCCAGCACCTTTACCTCCTTATACTTGAGCTCTCCAGGGACGCCCCCTCAAGTGGGCGGCCAAGAACAGGTGACGTTGACCACAGCAAGAAGGTGCTGGTATCTTCTGCATCCAGCACCCTCCCCCCCAACCAAAGGAAAAGGCCCAAGAGGACCAAGTGTGGATGTCTGATTCCACGTCTGACTCTAAAGGGCTAGGTTCCCACCCGGGATAGAACACAGAGCAGATGCGTTCTTTGAAGTCTAGCGGACATGGGTCTCTGGCCATTCTCTCAACCAACCCCAAGATCCTCTATTACCAGGACAGGGGCTGGAGTATCAGCTGACAGACTCGAACCCCTTGCTCCATCCCTGGGATTGAAGATTTTTTTGCTCAGTCCCCTTGTGGGTGGGGGGAGTCTATGGGAAGCAGGGGCACCGCAAGGAAGTTTCGCAACGCAGCCAGAAGCTCTGGGACCCTGGCTGCCAGCCCACGGGGGTTTGTAGCCGCCACCCTCAGTTGCAGCATGCCACGGGACCCAGAGCCCCCGCCCTGACACCCGGCGCGAGGAGGGGCAGACGCTGGCTGAGGGGCGCAGAAGAGCGCGGGGCTCCGCGGGGTCCCGCGGCTGGCCGAGGCCACTTACGTGTGCTGCTGGGGGAAGCTGTAGGCTGAGGCGCCGGGGGCGGTGAGCAGCGGTAAAAGCAGCAGCGGCGGCAGCAATAGCAAGAGCGGGCGTGCGGGCCCGGACGCTGGGTCCCGGGGGTCAGGGAAGGGCCGGGGGCCCCGACCGGGCC